GGTTCGCTCATTGCCAGAGATCTCTGTTGCTGATCTTTTCTGGCCGGCCGTCTGATCTTGAGTATTGAGCGAAGACATCTGTTAATGAAGGTCTGTAGTTTGTTTGAGGTGCTCTTTATGACGCGCCAATTCTGATCCGTATAGTAGCAATGACTTCACATTGGAGTTGAAAATCCGGATCTTATTTTTGATGCTGAGTGCTGTTGATCTCCACACAGACTTGAGAGTAATGAAAGCTTGCTTTGATATCCTCGTCAGTTCCGTCCGCCTGTAGTTGAAACGATGCTTCCCAGGTAGGTGGTGAAGGAGGTTGTTTCTTTCAGGTTCCTCCCATTTATCCTGGCTGATTGTTGTCTGTTGTTGTTGTTGCTGTTGCCAGATCTCATCACCTCTGTTTTCTCTATGTTCACCTGAAGTCCTTCCTATCTTCTCTGGATGCTTCTTCTGCCAACTTGTTGCTTTTCACTTGCATATCTTCCAGTTTGTGGGAAATCAAACATATATCACATCCAGGCTATAGTAAGCCCGGAGAAGTGGGAATGTTGAATAACACTACTTCTAATGAAACTTCAAAGCAGAAAAACGAGTTATGTTCCAGTAGGAAGACAAAAAAATATTTTAAAATTGCTTCAATGTTCCGCTATTTGGTGACTCTAAACTATAGCAGCCCAAACCGAAACTACCTAGCGAACGGACAAATGACCTTGACAACGACAATTTTGACCAATCAGAAGCCTCTATAAAAACGGCACATTATTTTAATAAATCGTTTATATAAAAGTAATGCAATGCTAAAGAATAGTTACGTGCGTCGGTGGTATAGCGGTTAGGACGCTCGCCGACCATGCACATGGTCCAGGGTTCGATCCCCGGCCACCAACGCACTCCTTTACCTCGCTAAGCCAGAAATAATGCTGGTGAAGAGGAAAGGTTGGGCATGAGACTAGCAACCCCATCCTGTAAAATAAACACTTCTGCAGAAACTTCAAGCCACTAGCTTGAAGCCTTATGTTCCACTGGGGAACGTGAAGGAAAAAAGAAAAAAGAATCGTTACAAAGGATAACGTTCTCGTATATGTTCCAAACCCGCCTCCGCACAAATTTCTCATAGAAGTCTTGATACTCATGTTAAACCAAGTCCTGTACACAAACTCAGCGAGATAACTGTATATCATTGCATTTCTTGATCCATTCACAGATCTGATCCGTTTTTTGAGGTGACTCCAAAAACTTTCGATGGAATTAGTGTGAGTTCCATTGATGAAATCCTTTGTATGGTTGACGACGTGATGAATATAGCCCAGGGTTGATAGCTGACTAAAACTACTCCATTCATCTGTATGAATAGTCGTTCCAGGCAGCACTAAGCGCTGGATAATAGGCAATAAGACATCTGCACTGCGATTAGGAATCGCCTCAATGTATCCTTTGTGGAGGGTGGTGTCATATATCCCCAATACCCACTGCTGATTTGCACTTAATTTCCCTCGATTATATTTTCTTTTTATCAACACCGTCTCATCCACGTGAACAATGACGCCAACTCCGCCAAGTACTTGAGTCAGCCTGTTCATTTTCCACGATGTTATGTCTCTGCAGTACTGGTACCATTGCACTGCAAACACTTCTGAATTTTCGGATTCATACGCTGTTGCTGTTACTGGTCTTTTAAGCATCCAGTTATGACACATCATTAAAATTTTCGTTAGAGGTCTCATTTAGGCTTGGCGAAAAAAGTTCCTACGGAATCTGTAAATTAAAAAAAAAGAACAACATACCTTCTCAAACTGATTTTCTCGTTCGGCACTCATTGCACCTGTAAACAAACCCATCAATGCACCTAGTGTATCTTTATATAATGCATGACACCTCCACACTGACTATTTTTCGACCTTCCTATCATTCCGTTCTTCAAACAGTAATCAAAAACAAGATTTGGAGCGAATTTGCAGCGCAAAAGCTGTACAGCATCCATAAGTACCGCCTGGATAATACGCAGTCAGCTGATTGGTTGCTCAAGGTCATTTATCCGTTCGCTAGGTAGGCAGTTTCGGTTTGGGCTGCTATAGTTTAGAGTCACCGGCTATTTTTCAATTCCAATCATCGAAACATGGATATTAATGAGAAATCAATAAATGTACATGCAGACAGCACTTTTTTCTCCTTCTATTGGTTTCCTTGACCAACAACGGAGACAGAGCTACCAGTGAACACCAACCCCCCGACGAAATCAGAACTCCTGAAGCCAATCAAGATGCCAAAAGCTGGAAAAGCAGCAGGACCAGATGGAAACCCAGCAGAAGCATTGAAAACGGACCCAGAGACAACAGCGGACTTGATGACGCCACTACTGGAGAAGGTGTGGAAAGAAGGCAAAGTACCCGAGGATTGGAAGAAAGGACACTTATTCAAACTACCAAAGAAAGGAGACTTAAGTCAATGCAAGAACTGGCGCGGAATTATGCTCCTGTCCATCCTAAGCAAAATACTAAGCCGCATCATCCTGGAGAGAATCAAACATGTCCTGGATGACAAACTTAGACCGGAACAGGCTGGATTCAGGAGAAACAAGTCATGTATTGATCAGATCACCACATTACGGATCATCACTGAACAAAGCTTGGAGTGGCAGTCACCTCTCTATCTCAACTTCATCGATTTTGAAAAGTCCTTTGACAGCGTCGATCGAGAGGTGATTTGGAAACTACTTCGCTACTACCAAATGGTGCCACCGACAATTATACATCTCATCCAACGGTTGTACGACAATGCTGCATGCCAAGCAATCCACAACGGGAAACTTACGGAACCCTTCGAAGTGAGGACAGGAGTAAGACAAGCTGGCTGCCTACTATCGCCAATGATTTTCCTGATTGCAGTAGACTGGATAATGCAACAAACAGTGGGCAATGAGGAAACAGGCATAAAATGGACCCACACAAAAAATATGGAGGATCTGGACTTCGCCGATGGTATATGTCTGATTTCCCACAAACTGGAAGACATGCAAGTGAAAAGCAACAAGTTGGCAGAAGAACCATCCAGAGAACATAGGAAGGACTTCAGGTGAACATAGAGAAAACAGAGGTGGTGATGAAGATTCCTGGCCAGCACCACCAACACCAACAACAACAGCAGACAACAATCAGCATAAATGGAAGGAACCTGAAAGAAACAACCTCTTTTACCACCTACATGGGAAGCATCGTTTCAACTGCAGGCAGACGGAACTGACGAGGATATCAAGGCGGCGAGGATCGGGAAAGTAAGACAAGCTTTCATTTCTCTCAAGTCTGTGTGGAGGTCAACAGCACTCAGCATGAAAATGAAAATAACATCCGGATTTTCAACTCCAATGGGAAATCACTGTTACTCAGTATACGGATCACAGACTTGGCCAGCGCGTCATAAAGAGCATCTCAAACAAACTACAGAGCTTCATCAACAGTTGTCTTCGCTCAATACTACTCAAGATCAAATGGCAACTAAAGATCAGCAATAGGAACCTGTGGGAGCGAACCAAACCATCAGGAACCGATTGTGAAACAAATAGGCAGGAAGAAATTGAGTTAGGTGGATTGGCCATACTCTGAGGAAACAATCCATCAAGTGATATCACTAGACAAACCATTACTCGAGTGGAACCCGAAAGGGAAGCGACGAGTTGGTCGTCAGTGCGAGGTTGACTTGGAGGAGGTCATGTGAAGAGGAGATGAAAACGTGTGTGGGGGCAGACTTGGAGCCAGGTGAAGACTCTAGCAGAGAACAGAACGGAATGGAGACGTGATTCTGAAGCCCTATATTCCTGTAGGAATTTAAGGATACAATAATAATATAATAATAATTGGTTTCCTTGATTTTTTTCTGCAAAAGAAAAAAATCCTTTTTGGTTGTCAGTACCTTCAAGTTTTAATTTACGATAAACTGAAATAATTCAGGCGAGTTATTTTTTTAGTTTTCCTTTCCCTCCACCTCTTATAAACTACGTCATTAAGTCAAATAGAGAGAATGTGAATCCTTTTTTAACTACTGCGTTTTTTTAAACCATATATGTGTACTGTCTCCAACCTCTAGGGTATGTTTATTGTTTTGGGGAGAGAGAGAGATTGAGAGAGCGAAGAAAAAATCGCCCTAGTAAGTACTACGCTTTATCTCATTTGTATACTCATCCTATACAATGCGAATATACGTACGTCCATACAACACACATGCGCACAAACAAGTGCACACCACTAATAATCATATCCACCTTTTCTATTATCAATTAATTATAATTATTATGGAGTTTAATATATATTCTACGACTATCAAGCTGCCTTTTTTTTCCCGCCTTATTTAATCCCAGTTAGGTAGTAGGGTAAATAACCAACTAACTCACTCGCTCATTCACTGTATGTGTGTAGGTATAGCCAATATTCCTCGTTTGACGTTGTGTAGCTACAAAATTTGACATACACACACATACTGATACGTGCGTACGTACGTGCACGCGCGCGCTTTGTATACTACACATACACACACACGAACACAGTGAATAATCTCTCTCACCCCGGAGAAAATCTTTTCCATATAATTTGTGACAAATTTACAAAAAAATACTAGTAATAATAATAATGTGAATGTCATTATTCTATGTGTGACCTATCAGATGCACCGGTTATAATAATATAATAAAAGTTTCTTAGGTCGTCGTCGTAGATGGAACCCTAGAAAGACAACAAAAAAGCATTGCATTGCTCTTTAATAATATTTAGTTCGTTTGCTTTGTGCACACAAGGTCAAAATTGGCCTTTCTCTCCTCTCCACTCCACTCTGCTGTCTTCGCCACCACCACCCACCCCTCTCACCAGAAAGAAAAAAAACTTTTAGAAACCAGACATGTATATGTCAGTTTTAATTCTGCCTGCCTGCCTGCCTGCCTATCTAAATGCATGAATCAGTCATATGGCCTAGAGCGAGAGATAGATAGATAGATAGACAGACAGACAGACATGCAGAATGTTTTAAAACACTAGAGTGTCACTGTGAGTCAGCCCTGGTTGGTCTTCAAGATTGTCCAGTGTCTGAATCTGCGTGCCAGAAGTGGCATCAAGCCCGGCATGCCTAATATATATATATATAAATAACTTATGTATGGAATGGACCTATCAATAAAAGTTAACTTTTATTTCGATGCATTTATAAAACACACCATACATAAATTCAATTCAATTCAATCAGAGCTTGAGCTTTCTTTCTTTTTTGTGGATTTTCTTTGATGCTTGCAATGCTCATTAGCAGCTCTCTTTGATTGGAAAAAGAAAAATATTCATCACCTGGGAATAATTGCATCAAATCTTACGTACATGTTTTCGATCTTCGCATATCTTGAAAATCCACTGACTACTATTACGTCATTCCCTTAAAAAAACCAGCATTATTTTTTATTATTTCTGGCCGTGGATCACATTAAATCTTTTATTTCCATGTCAACGACGGTTGTAGGCCAGAGGCCAACTCCTCATCGGCCTTTTCGTGGTCTAGTTCAAGTCGGTTATACTAGTACTAGTACTGGTACTGGTACTGGTACTGGTACTGGTACTGGTACTACTACTAGTTCACGAGCTACACCGCCATCAACACCTATCGATGTGACAACAGCCCGCGAGGAAGCTTTACTTGCAATCTCTGTCAATGGATGTATTACTGGTGTCAGTCATATTAAACCGTTCTTTCTACCACCACGAGGACAAGGTGAAAGTAATCATAGCTCTGTAGAGAAAAGTTTAGGCTATGGAGCATTCGGTGTTGTCTGGTAAGTCTCAGATTATTGTTATTATTGAAGTTTTTAAATTGATTTTGATCATTTATTCTGAAAGTTGGATGATCTATGCTGTTGATAGCTTCATTTGAATGCGTTTTCCTTGTGTTTTGATGTTATTGAACAGTTGTGTTCAGCACAGACTTCGTTAAGACAACACTCCTCCCTGTCATTCCACCTTATTTAACTTCTTCAGAAGTATCACAAACTGGACAGTGTCGAAAAGAAACACTGCTTTGGAGTAGTATGTAGTGTCATATTTTATTTCTGAATTGCTTCTTTACATGTTGTACTGTCAATTCCATGCTGACTAACTGTACAAGCTCAGAGAGATTCTATCACGATGCGGAACATATTCAAACATTCAACTAGGCATAAACAATGAACTTGATGATTTTCGATTCGAATAGTTCTAGTTATAACTGAGTTATGCATGGCAGCTGTGAGCTACATCTACGATCTGAAGACTGATTATATTGCCGTAGTGGTTATGGTTGAATTAAGCAGAGAGTAGGAGTTGGGTCTGTTTTACCCCACTATTACTGAAAGATCAGTTTCCAAGTCAGTGTATTTTTTTTCTGTTCAAGAGAACTCTGTCGCATATTCAATATGATGCTGTAGAGGTAAGAAAATCCTTCGAAATAAATAATCTACGCCTACACTGTTCGTTATCACCTGTATCAGTGAACTTCGAGGGGTTTATAGAGTACACAGATTCTCTTATTATTTTGTGTTCTGTTTGTTTATGCGAATGAGACAGTATGTGTGTCGGTTTTTCCATCGATCTGAAGTTCTTGAGACTATATATGCCATTGTCTAATTATAAAAAATATTTAAAAAAAACCGGAATAACATCTTACACACAATCTGGCTGGTTGCTGGCTGAATTCAACATAGAACTTGGCACCGAAGTGCAGCAGTTCGAGTTGCCACGTTCCAAATACCACACAAAGGTAGACAGGAAGATGAGTGAAGAGAATCAATAGAGGTTTGACAAGTATAAGAGTGAAACAAAATGAGTAATGGTAGAAAGGAATATGAAAGATTACAGAGACTGAATACATCTGCGTAAGCCATTGACAACGATTTTGAGCCATGTCACCTATTGGCTCAAAATCTAGAGCGTGAGCAGTGTCGGTTGACATGGTATCACTCTGGTAAAGAGTTCGGGGTAGTTAAACCAAAACAGGACATTAAATTATGAAATAATTGACTGTTGGTTCCCTTTGAGTCAGTCATGTGTAAGCTGTCAAGTTTTGAGGTCCTTGAGACTGTTTTGATGATATGTCTCAAAACTGTTCTCAGTTGTGTAGATGCATTTACTCTTTGTAATCTTCCAGACCCACTAATTCCTCGTTCTTCTTCATATTATGTGCTATATGGAGTATGGCGACATAAACTTGTGCACTTCTATGCAAAGCTCTACTTTGTAAACTCACTCACTCAGTCAGTCAGTTAGTTGGATTAGGGCTCCAGTGGTTAAAAGTTGTCGATCACCTCTGACAATCAGCCACATCCCCACATACTCGAAATTCAAAAGTGACAAACGGGTTTTGTCAGTAGATGATTATAATTTTCCCGTATTTGAATACGTCTCAGTCTGTTACTTCCAGCTTGTTCTACCTTCTGAAACCAATAGATTTACTGTAGTGAATAGATGATTATATTTAGAATTTGATCTTTATCAGAACTATTGTCAGCAGGAAGGGAGGGATATGGCATCCATTAATAACAATAATAATAATTTGCTTTATTCCAAAACAGTACTTGTAATGCAGAATGGAATTCTCAGCATTTTTACTACAGTATTGCATCCAGTTAGTACATTATCAATAAATAGAATTCTACATAGATTATGGGTAGTCTCAGTTAATTTTGACAACAACATATTGGCATGTCGGTAGCAAAGCCAAAGTTGAACAGTGTTTGAAGGTGTTAGAAAAGTAGATACTATCATATTTACTGGCGTAAGCGAGAGAAAGAAACAAAGCAGCACATAACGGAAAAATAGAGAGAGAAAACGAAAAGAAAGAAAATGTTGTACCTATAAATGATATGAGCTGGAAAGATGAGGTCCAGTTGTACTACTGACTATTTAATGAATTATAGGTATCACGCCTAATGCTTTCTTTATCGCACAGAACACGAGCTAAGTACGGTATGGTTGAGTTTTTGTACTTCCTAGTGTGACCATATAGTTTTCTATATAGGCTTCTGGTTTTACCTGATTAGGTGCAAGGAGAGAGTTGTGAGTGAAGAGGGTGGTGTGAGTAAGGTAAAATGGATTTGGCCCCTTTTTCACATGAGTCCATGTGCCTGTCAACCAGAATATTAACAAGCTGGTTAAGTGGCACGTTGCTTACCCTGCTGACAACCTTTAACATCCTCTCTGATATGTTATAGTCTTTCTTCAGTATCCCGGGAAAAACTAAGGGGGCACAATAGAGAATAATAGGCAGAATGCGAGAGTTAACGAATTGTAGGAGTAAGGGTTTGGTTATTCCAGAATGTTTTAACTTCTTGATGTAGAAGGTAAGACGGAATATTTTCTTAGAAATTGCCAAGATGGTTACAATAAATATTTTAAAATAACCTGTTAGTTACTATGCAGTCAGCCAATCAGTCAGTCATTGTGAGATCTACTTCGAGTGAATCAAATCAAGCATTTGTCTCTGTGAGGCTGTTAGTCTTATAAGTGACACAAATTGGCTTAATTACTCAACTTAAAAACCGCTGGGCTCTAGGTTCGAATCCCCTGCTGCACCTACATCAAACCTGAAAAACTAAGTAGTACTATCTGACCATATATAGTCTGTAGATAGCTAACTTTCAAGGTTTGCAAAGAAAAAGACGATATATTCCTTCCTTCCTTCAACATTGAATCCATTATGGCTGTATTATAGCAATTCAAGACTATATCTGCTTTTTTCACCTTCTTAGTCCCATTCTATTCTGAATGTTTATCTTGACGTCTTTTTAGTGTCTACTTAAGTATGAACTATTTGAGTTTTTCGCCTTTGAAAAGGTTTTTCTGTAAATATTAATGATTTACGTTAGTTTTATTTTGAGGCTTCTGTTGGAGATTCCAGTTAGCTCAGTTGGATCGTTGAGAGTTGTGAAGCTTTCATCATTGTCTTCCTAGACAAACATCTTCAGGGTATACTTCAATCTGAAGTATGAACTTTTTTGACACTGCCACAGAGGACCGTATGAATTTAAAACAAATGAAAACTGGTTGATGCATAAGAATTAGTAAAAAAAAATAAAGCAGAAAGACTGTAACACACACAAGTAATCAAGTATTGATTAATTTTATCGATCTGTAATATTTGAAACGGTGTCGTTTTTTAATAAAGCTTGTAAAATTGAAATCATTCACTTAAGGTAGACAGACACTTTCGAATGGAATCCCATTGGGAAGCGACGAGTGGGTCGTCAGTACGAGGGTGACATGGAGGAGATCGTGTGTTGAGGAGGAGGAAGAGATGAGAGATTATGGGCCATCTTGGACCCAGTTGAAGGGGAGAGCAGAAAATAGAAAAAAGTGGAGATGTGTTGCAGAAGCCCTATGTTCCCCTCGGAACCCAAGGGGATACTATCAATGTGTACGCAACGCATTCGTTAATCAAACTGGATATTTGGAATCTGTCATATATTATATACTGTTTGTCGAGAAAGTTGTACACACGTAGGGGTAAGGTAAGGTTTGTGAACACGATTAAACCAGCATCGTCAATGCTGGTTTTGCACACGATGTTTTATCTATCCTGATGTTATTAACCATCGGCAGGTAGACATTAACTTGTTCTTCAGTAATCTGTGACATGTACACCAGTATTTGGTGTTCCATATTTTGTTCCAACTGTCTTGTACATTATAATAAAGAAGCCTAACGAGATTTTAAACAGTTTGCGTGTAGTATTCATGCATAGAGGTGATTATTACTTTACAAGAGAAATTTCCAAATTGATTTATTGATTTTTGTGTATACACTCTATTAGTGTCCTTACACCGTGATGCATTCTGTTCCTCTTGAAAGAGTTATTGATTAGGTTGGTTATCAGTATTTGTATGCTCAAAACGATGGTGTGGAGATTCCTACTTAACGATTCCATTGTCAATGGTATATTATTCTTATGTTTAGTCTAGTCGTGTAGAATCTTAACACTTAACTTATAGCCAACAAGTTACGGCTTCGAGTCCCGTTCCACCTGCTTCAGCCTGGATAGCTACATGATAGTATCATCGATCATCTCACACACACATTAATCGTGTTGCTTATAGCCTTCTGGAGATAGTTTATTATCGATCAGGGATGAAACTAAATGAAGTGACTAGTTATGGATACTACTCACATCAACCGACAGTAGTAGTAGTGCTTGCTAGCCAACCAAATTGAAGTTATTTAAACACTGGAGAACTGTTGTTTCACACGTTCAAGACCGAGCTAATCAGCAGTGTACCTGATTCACTTTGAAATTTGAACCTCTTGACAGTGTTCGTCCAAATAGCTGGCCAGAAGAAATTGGATGATTTCAACTGATTCGGCTTTTTGACCCCAAACTAGCGAAATGGCTCTTTGGTGTTTAAATAAATAATTAACTAGCAAGTACCACTAGTTGATGTGAATAGTGTCCAACTAGTCATCTCAGTCAGTCAATCAGTCAGACAGTAGCATACAGCGTCGTACATCTATGCTTGATTTCTTGACTGCTATTTCATGTGACCTGAATAATTTCGACTTCTAAAGGAATCTGTGCTGTGAAATTTTCGCCTGGAACTCTGTGTAAGTTGTAGATTAATTTGCGAATTGTGAATGTTTCTGTATCTTCGGCATATTACTTAAATAGATCAGTAGTACCGTCTCTGACTACAGCACACTGGGTGACACGGGTTCAAGGTTGTTGTAGATATGCCTTGCTGACTGACTGAGTGACAACAAGCACAAAACCCAGGTCCAAGTCGAGTTTCCTTCCGATTGCCTCCAACCATCCTAATATCAATCAATATATTACTTATTACTATTATTATTATTTAGTACAGTTTCAGGATAGAATCTCATTAAGCTGGTAATTTCATCAGTATTCCGTTAGGAAGTGCGTTTGGAACGCCTAGTGTATACTTCACATTCATTGTAGACAATGCAAGCCATATGCATAGAAGAGAAGTTTTTTGGGAAGCTATTTGGATATATATGTATGCTTGACAGTTTCGCCATTACAACGTCAATATGGCGTGGGTGTTGATTTTCTTCTTTTGTCGCTGTCTACACGGCTACTCATCATCACCATCATCACTCAGATGCCGGTAACTTTTTTCTGGATGTTTGTGTTGACTGCTTTTCCATGACACTTCCATGTATTTCCATGTAAAGCGGTTTATGAGGTTTAATTTCATATACTATGCATAAACCTTATATTCAGTAATCTTAGTTGAATAATGCATCGGTGTTTCAAGACATGTGTGACCCAAGCCAACGCACTCCTGACTCTTGCCTAGTCAATTGTAAGTCGAGGGAAAAGAGAAAAAAATTGGGCGTGAACCCTTAGGGTTGTTCCAAGGAATGCGATGTGACGTTTCTTCTCCAACCACTTTCTGATTATGCACTACGCACAAATTTCTGAACAGTTCTTTTCTTTTTTTTTAATGCGCTACTATCACTTGATACTCCTCTAGTTATACTCCGTTAGGATGGTTGAATCTCTCACTATCTAGCTAGCTAGCTAGAATCAATTAGTAAATTAGTGAGTGATTCATCCAAACTTCTTGCTTTATTGAAATGTTGTTTATTTTGTTTGCTTTTTGATATTTATTTATTTATGTTTTCTTTTAGGTCAGTTATCGATCCACGTGATGGTCAAAAAGTCGCACTGAAACGGATACCACGGGTTTTTCATAATCCGATTACTGCTAAACGTGTCCATCGAGAGTTGAAAATGCTTTCGTGTCTCAAACATGAAAATGTAAGTTCTCTTTTTGTGTTCGTGTGTGTAAAATTTTGTTACAAACATTTTTTCGGGGGGGGGGGTGTCTCTGTTTGACTGCTCAAATGTGCATGCCTGTCGTCAGTAGCAAACAGAAAATACTCTACTTGAATCTGGATTTCAGCGCAAACTTAGCTTGCGATATCCTCAAAGAGGGAAGAATTTCAGCATCTTTGAAAAGAGTATTCTTCGGAACAATGCTAAGAATAGTGTTCTCTTCAGTAGGAGTTCTCCATTGATCTGCAGAATCCTTAAGGACAAGATCTCACATCTGTTCGATGCGTATCCTTGCCCAAAAGGGTTCAAGAACACTATCCCACAGCATGGCTATAGGAAGGTAATAATTAATGGCTGTATAAGGAGTGGGATAATCGAACATCTCGTCAACACTGATCATTCCATCTCAACAAACGTGAAGAACAATCTTCTGACAAAGGTAATTATGCTTTCGTCACCTTTGTAGTACATTGCGGAAGTCGTAGCCATTCAGTTGGAGAAACCAGAGTTAAGCATACAAAAGAAAATCATTCAACCACTTCTACTGATTTGATGTGTTATGTGTTTTTGTTATTCTTTTTCTAACTCTTTATAACATTTGTAATTTTCAGAACTCTTACGTAATTCCATAATTTCCTTTGTTTCTATATGCATCCTAATCACAACTCACTCATTAAACTATTCATCTTATAGAAAAGAAAAGGCGTTCAGCAAAGAGTTACTCTTTTCGGCGATATCATTCTCAAGCTGTACAAACCGCAAATTTATAGTAATTTTTCTTGGCAACAAAAGGAATATTTCCAAAGATGTATTAATGCAATTGTTAATTTTTTGACAACAAATTACGTAATTTAGAAGGCGTTAATCGGTTAGAAACTAAAATAAAGTTACAAAAGTAGGTTGGGTGACGTAATCTAATTGCTAGGGTTCAATGAAAAATGAATGTGAGTCAAGTTAATAATCTGAGTAGAATTCACTTGAAAATGAATGAGAGTTAAGTTAATAAGCTGAGTAGAATTTACTTAAAAATAAACGAAAATGGAGTTAGCAACAGTCGTCATCAGGGTAGAGATTTAATAGAGGGTGAGGGTAGAAAATAATGCAATTAAGAAACAGACAAACAAAGAAGAAAGAGGTAAAACAAAATTACGTATTTGATGTTGAGATAGATCAGGACCATTGTAGATTTAGTGACTGAACAAACTTCTTTTGTATGCAGAGTTCAGGATTCAATATGTGAATCGCCATTGCTTCTGCAGTTTGAAGAAGTTTAATTCGTACTCTTTTGGCAAGATTCCCACGTAGGGTGTAGATAACTGAGAACTTCTTTTATGTGTTGATTAACATTAATAACCATGCTTACCAGTCTTCACCCCTTCCCCTAGTTACAATTTGATTACTCATCACGTTTTCGAAATGTCTTGACAACAATAACCCTAACTTATTTTTATTCTTATCGGACAAACCTAACTTACTCACACACCCACACACATACAAAAATAAGTATATATAAATGCGATTGTATAGCTAGCTAAGTGAATGAATTCGCCGCCGAAAAAAGACTCTTCACTGAACTACGTGTTTTCTTTTCATTAATATCTGGATTGGGATTATTCATGAAGTACAACAATAGGTCACTTAAAAGTGTAATTCAGTAATACCTTTTTAGATGCTAAGAACCGGTGGCTGGAGACAGCTGAAAATCATTCTCATTGGAGTAGATTCATTCCCTCTCTGTGGTCTCCTTTATCCATCAAACCCTGTGGTTTTTCCATGTTATTATTCTTCTTTCCTCACATTACCGCTTATTATTGTTCTTTTAAATCTCTTTTCTCATCTTTAAAGATTGGTTTTGGAGGGATTTTGTTTGATTGGTTGGAGGATATCATCATGAGCTGACATTGGTTAGAGAACCATTGGAAAACCAACTCTTAGTACTGGACAGCTGTTTCATCCTAGTTTGGCGCTAAACCGCATTCTTCTCCTTTTGGTTTAGGTTGCATGTTCTTGTCCACAAAACGTGTCGGGTAACCATTTTTAGACAGGATATTTTTGAGGAATAGGAGCTCCTCTTCCAAGCAATCACTGCGGCAGATTTATCTAATGCGATGGGTTAGTGAGATAATGAGAGCTTGTTTTCGACTCAAGGGTATCCAACTATAGAAATGCGTTAATAGTTGACCGTTCCATGTTGGTTTTTTGTGGATGGATCTCTTCAGAGTTCCATCATCTCTCCTTGTTAACTGCACGTTCAGAAATGGAATCTTTGAATCATTTTCTAATTCCACTGTGAATTTAATCGAAGGATGGGAATTATTAAATTCTTGTAAGATACATTTGAAGTCGGAATTATCGTAGCAAACTATAAAGATATCATCGACGTACCTTTTCTTTTGTACAGTAATAATTTGTTTATTGTTGATTTTAAAACACCACTTTCCAAACTGGCCCATAAAGCAGTCTGATAAAAAAAAGGCCAAGAGGAGATACCATTGCAATTCCATCTTTCTGTCTGTAGATCTCACCGTTGAAGGTAAACTGTACATTCAGCGTGCATCTCAGCAACAATTCCTTCAGATATGATGTTGGTATTCCGATACGTATATATTCGAGTTCTCCATATAATTACACAGGAAACAGGGGGCAAACTGTTTCTGTTTGTGACACGTTGGTAAATAGAGATTCGACGTCTAGGGATAACATTCGTTTAACTATTACTCTCTTATAAATATAGAACCTAATGAAGAAGCCATTATCGAAAAGAATATTCTTTGTTCACTAATCCCAGACTTAAGTCAATTTACAGATTGATTAAACAATATGGAAGCCAATTGATTTGCTTGACTAAGCAATATATCAACAACAGAAATATTTAAGGCAGATTACATGAACTAAAAAGGAAATATAGATAAAAAGAACCTAATTACTGTTCTATCTTAGAGATTGTAACTTCTCTCAGCAGTGTCCATAAGTGAGGAGGTGAGAGGCAGGGACTAGGACATCAACAGGAGGCTGTAAAAGATGGTGTGTTACTGCAAAACAACACTTTTCAAATCGATAATCAAGTATTGGTTTGCAGGGATTTGATTTGATTGGTTACAGGAGCTGATATCGGTTAGAGAAAACTATTGGAAAACCACCAGGGAGGAGCACTGGACAGTTAGCTGTTTCGTCCCACTAGTTTGGGGCTCTTCATCAGTATGCACCTACCTGAAAGGGTGGGGGAGCCGGGTTTCGATTCCAGGACCTTCCGGTCACAGCGCTCCATTAAGTCACTGGAACCCATGAATTACAACTTTTGGCAATTCACAGAAAGACTGATAACTGCTACTGTCAGAGAATACATCAATGCACTTTCAAACGGGAGATTGTAATAGCTGTATCATTTTTAGACGATTTCAAGATGTCTACTTCATGATGACCTATATCAAAAAGAAGTCTGACAATAGTACTGTTAAAAGCGTTTATTTTCTTTGAGAGGTACACTTTCCGGTAGATGTTCAGTGAATCTAAGATGTGACCTTCCCTCTGTTAACCCATCCATCCCCTCCTAAATGTAACTGCTACTGCAGTATACACATGAAGGATATCTGTGGAGCTTTGATTGCATCGAAAAGTATATCGTTTGATAGACGGTAGGCAATTTGGTTGCTGCATAGTTAGGTTCTAGCTTACATGACTTATCCAGTCTTCTGATGTTTCACTGAACGGCTAATGTGTATAGTCATTTGAAATGCATGGATGGAATTCCACTCCTATCATTCCTGTTTCCTTAGATAGTCAGTTTACTTAGGATATCGATCTGTCAGTGGTTTAAGGGTCTACGAGCTCGTCCTGTAATTGGTAGGTCCTGGATTCGAACCGCCTCCCGGTGTGTGCTACTGATGAAGAGTCTCTAACTAGTGGGACGAAACGGCTGGCTGTCCAGTGCTCCTCTCTGGTGGTTTTCCAATAGTTTTCTCTAACCGATATCAGCTCCTGTAACCAATCAAATCAAATCCCTGCAAACCAATACTTGAATATCGATTTGAAAAGTGTTGTTTTGCAGTAACATACCATCTTTTACAGCCTCCTGTTGATGTCCTAGTCCCTGCCTCTCACCTCCTCACTTATGAACACTTCTGAGAGAAGTTACTGTCTCTAAGATAGAACAGTTATTAGGTTCTTTTTTATATGTATTTCCTTTTTAGTTCATGATGTAATCTGTCTTAAATATTTCTGTTGTTGATATATTGCTTAATCAAGCAAATCAAATGGCTTCCATATTGTCTAATCAATCTGTAATTTGACTTAAGACTGAGATTAGTGAACAAAGAATATTCTTTTCGATAATGGCTTCTTCATTAGGTTCTATATTCATAAGAAAGTAATAATTAAACGAATGTTATCCCTAGACGTCGACGTGCCACTAACAGAAACAATCTGTTTCCTGTGCAGTTAATTATATGGAGAACTCGAATATATACGTATCGGAATACCAACATCATATCTGAAAGAATTGTTGCTGAGATGCACGCTGAATGTACAATTTACCTTCAACGGCGACATCTACAGATAGAAAGATGGAATTGCAATGGGATCTCCTCTTGGCCCGTTTTTTATCAGACTGCTTTATGGGCCAGTTTGGAAAGTGGCGTTTTAAAATCAACAATAAACAAATTATTACTGTAGAAAAGGTACGTCGATGATACCTTTATCTTGTATCTTGTATCGTACAAGAATTCAATAATTCCCATCTTTCGATTAAATTCACAATGGAATGAGAAAACGATTCAAAGATTCCATTTCTGGACGTGGAATTAACAAGAAGATATGATAGAACCCTGAAGGGGTCTATCCACAGAAAACCGACATGGAACGGCCAACTAACGCATTTCTATAGTTGGATACCTTTGAGCCGAAAACGAGCTTTCATCAGCTTACTAACCCATCGCATTAGAAGAATCTGCAGCAGTGATTGTTTGGAAGAGGAGCTCCTATTCCTCAAGCATATCCTGGCTGAAAATGGCTTACGCGACACGTTTTGTTGACAAGAACATGAAACCTAAACCACAAAGAGAAGAATGCCATTCAGCATCGAAGAATTTGAATTTCAGGGGAGATTTGGTAGCTGATATCCTTAAGAGGAGAATATCCAGCTCTTTCAAAAAGACCTTCCCTACAGCAACACCAAGAGTGAAATTCTCTAGCCGTTCAATACTTCGAAACAACGCTAACGACAAACTCTCGCCTATGACCAATTTAATGTGCATATACCAGTTCACCTGCTCTGTCGGAGCTAGGTACATAGGTCGTTGTATGCGCGTGTTTTTTCAAAACGTGTTAGAGAACATTACCCAGCATGGCTGCAAAACGGAGGCACCGATTCAATCAGAAGTGCCATTATTGAACATCTGATCAACACCTCCAACAACATCTCAACTGATTCATTCGAAGTAATTTACAAAGTCAACAGAAACCTACCAAAAGCAGTGTCTTTCCGAATTCTCTGCACTACAGAAGCCCTTGCAAAAGAAATTAGTCCAACATCTACAACTGCCATGGACCTAGTTCGGTGTGCTCCCTTAGCATCCGTTTTTTCTCTGTGTGTGATTTTTCGCTCTTTGTCTTCATTCAATTCATCCAGTTTTTTCAGTTATAAGTACAGTTATTTTAAGCTTGTTCCCGTGCTTTTCCTGCTCACATTTATAATTCGTTTAAAATAACTATTATATCCTAATCCTGTGTAATTTTTGTTTCTAAGGCTCTTGTAATCTATGATTCACACCTCCTAACTTCCATTTCAAGTTGAAATGCAACACTAAAATGAATACATCTGATAAAATAAAGAAAGCAATACAGAATTTATAGATTTATAAGTTCGACAGCAGCCCCGGGGTAGTAATAATAGCACGACCTGTTCGACTTTTTGCATGCAGAGCTCCGGTGAAATAAAGCGAGATGCAGCAGCCCCTGTCTTATGGAGTCGTCAGCATCTAGAGCTCTTTGGTAATTTATTCAATATCCGAAAGATGATAGAGTATAAGCCTTCAATGTGGTGGCTATGTGGTCTGTTCGAACGAGGTGATCTAACACAGAACTGTTGATGGTTTTAACCATACCTATATATATATATATATATATATATATATATATATATATAGCCACATTGGTAGGTGTTCCTGAGTGATCCTAAAGCAACGGTCAATATAACCGTCTCCATAGAATCAATTGAATTAACAAGTACAATTAGAGGTAGGTAGCTAGTTGCCTAGTTGCTTTATCCTTTCAATGAAGGAATCACAACCAGTTGTTTTGAGAAATATAAGCTGAAGCTTACCGGCACTATATGTTCCTTGAATCAATCTTCCCAACTTGTTGGTCATTATTTGAGTCAGTATTGGATTTTCAACTCCAATGTGAAGTCAGTGCTACTATACGGATCAGAGACTTGGCGCGTCATAAAGAGAATCTCAAGCAAACTACAGACTTTCATTAACAGTTGTCTTCGCTCAATACTCAAGATCAGATGGCTGGTCAGAAAAGATCAGCAACAGAGATCTCTGGCAATGAGCGAACCAACCCAGCAGGAACCGATTGTGAAATAAATATGCAGAAGGAAATGGAGATGGATTGGCCATACACTGAGGAAACAATGAATCAAGTGACATCACTAGACAAGCCATTGCTCGAGTGGAAGCCGAAAGGGAAGCGGCGAGTTGGTCGTCAGAGCAAGGGTGACTTGGAGGAGGTCATGTGAAGAGGAGATGAAAGCATGTGGGGGCAGACTTAGAGCCAGGTGAAACCTCCAGCAGAGAACCGAACGCAATGGAGACGTGCTTGGCTGAAGCCCTATGTTCCTCTAGGAATTAAAGGAAACAATAATAATAATTGCTTGTTTATTAATCACTGTTTTGAATCTGTAAATATTAAACCCTACCTACTTGTTCCAACTACGGTTTGCTTGTAAACCATGACACTTCTCTTACACAAATCAATATTACATACTGCTTCATAAGTTCCTTATTTTATTTTTTAAACAGGTGTCTACTTGGAATTTTAATTGGTAGATGTTGACTAGCAGTGGAATCCAGGACAACTCGCATTTCGTCCTGTTTGGGACTCATCAACTAGCTGGATGTGTCTGCATTCCCCAGTCATCGAGTGATGATGATGATGTTCCCACCGAGGCTCAAACGCCAAAGCATTATCCTCTAGACCACTTGGTTCGCTTCAGTCCAATCAATCGATGGCTTAGAAATGCTCCACTTACAGCTAACAGCTTCTGGGTTCGAGTCCCGTTCCACCTAATTTCGTCTGAGCAACTGAGTAATTAGTATTTAATTAGGTCTCACAGCACAGACTAAGTGTGACTGTTATCCTCTTACATGAAACATCTATTCCAGGTAATTGAGTTGGGAAAAAACAAAAAAAGCAAGTGTTTTAAGTTATATTCCATGGGTTTTTGGTTTTTTAAAAAAAAGTTATTTCAGTGAGTTATTATTCTAATAACAATGTTATTCCTTTTTTCATTTTTTTCATTTTTAACAGATTGTTAATTTAATCGACGTTGTCAAGTCGGAGAGTTACCTTAATTTCGAAGAAATGTATCCTTTATATATATGTATATAGTGTTATTTATAACATGTTTAATGATCAAGAAGAGTGTTTGTAGGAATGCCTGTACAAAGTAGTGAGAGAGAGAGAGAGAGTTAATATATGTTTGCAGTCGACTTCTATCATCGGGAAGCCAATATACAATAGTTACTAAACTAGTGTAGTGTGTTAGTGCAGACTGTCAGTCACCAAGCTGGGTGACACATGCCATCATGGTGTACTCAGAATTGTTGATATTGGAGGAGATTGGGAGGAAGTCCTGTTTGGACCCAGGCGTATCTGCAACAACCTTGAAGGAATTCATGTGTTCCTCGTCGGAGATTTGAAGAACCCATGTCACCTAGTGTAGTGTAGTGTAGTCAGAGACATTACCACTGAGCTATTCTAGCTCGCAAATGACCTCCTGTAGGAGGAGGAGTGTATTGGACACTTTGGTTGAACACTAGTTGGTAACTAGTGTAATATGTCTAGTCTAGCATGAAATCCAGGTCCAACGATTCCTGTCGGTTGCTTCCAACCGTCTTATCTGTAAATATTCGTCAATAAAGTATGCGTTTAACTCAGCCCCCCTTGTGATATTACGACTTGTCGTAATGCTCTTTAACACCGTACTAGTACAATAGAGCCTTCCTTGATGACGTTTAGAGTGGACACATAAGGCTTCAATAGCTGTGGTGTTTGGTCCTTAGCCTCTCACTAGGCAAAGTTTTTAGGATTGCGTAGGCAGAGGAGATCGAACTCTCAACCAACCGCATACGTACGTGGTGGTTGTCTGTCGTGTCGTGTATTCTGCCTATCGAACCGAACCATCATCATCGTTAGGTCTAAAACGTGAAGTGTGTGTGTTTACAGTGAGGTTTGGCCTTCTTTGTCTTGCCTCTTTTTTAATTTATTGGTTTTTACCTTTCTCTAAGGAAACTGCTACTTATTGTATTGGTTGGTTGGTTGAATTTGCCTAAATGCCATTGTTGTTGTTGTTGTTTTTCGCTGTTGTTTCTCTCTTAACACTTACTTATGACTCATTCATGTCCTGGCTGGCAAACTTCTTTTTTCTCCTCTTGTTATTCACATGTCTTCACTAGACTAGATGAATGGTATGATGACCCTAAGGTCACGTAGAATAAATCCATTTGTATGTATATGATAGTTGTCTCTCACTCACTCTCTCGCCCTACCTGCTTCCTCCTAAAATAGGTGTGTGCTTATTAAGGTCAACTAACCTTCGTTTGATTTCTCTGTGTGTGTATATGTGTGTTTGGAAAAATCATCACAATAACAATAAGAAGTAAAAGAATTAAGGTCTGCTGAACATCATGCTTTGTTCACAGTTTCTCTCTACTTTCCTATTGGTTACTTACTCAGTCAGTTAGTTAGTTAGTTAGTTTCTCTTGTGTGTTTGTCTAAAGTATTGCCAAAATTAATACGCTTAAGAGTAATTTAACATTTTCTTAAAAAGTTAGTTTTTGTAGGGATTTGATCACCAGTTTGATGTTAGTCAGTTAGTGAACTGTTGAAATCCATACAGTAGTACTGGGCAGCTGTTTCATCCAAAATTTGGGATTCATCGGCAGTAGACACCCACCAGGACTCTCCGCTTACAAGGCAAGCTCGTAGATCACTCAGCCACTGGGCCCATGAATTCTAACTCCTACCAGTTCGTATTCGTCCTGACTCCCGACCAGATGGGTCCTACTGGGTGCTTACTGTCGATGAGTTACAAACTAGGACGAAACAGTTGTCCAGTACTCTTCGGGGGCTTCCAATATTTCTCTAACTGATATCAGTCTGTGGTCAGACTTGAAACAAATCACACCCCTAGAAAACAAACTCTTGGCCTATGGGTGCATGCTGATGAAGAGTCCCAAACTGGGGCGAAGCAACTGTGTCGTTTTTTGGTAGTTCTTTAACTGATATCAGTTTATTATCCAACTTGAATATAACTTTCATGGTTCTGATCACGGATCCATATCAGTTAGAGAGCCAGTGAAAACCTGGGAGTACTGAACAACTAGCTGTTTCGTCCTACTTTTGGTCTCATCATCCGTACGCACCCGCCGAGTTTTAAACCCACAACCTTCTGGTTACAAGTCAAGCTTGGTTGATCATTCAGTCACTGAGAGACCTAATTAAATTTAACGCGACCACCAGCCAGTATCACATCGGCGGCGAGTATTTGTCCTCACTCACTGAGGGGGGGGAGGGAGATGCTATAAATATATCCTCGTCTAGTTTACCAGTTCTCTAATTTATTAGCCGGTCATAATTCCAGATAAAGAGGGAATATTGCTGCGTAAGGCTAGTAGCGCGACCCTACCCTGAAAAGTCAATCCTATCGCTCTCAGAAACGCTAAAGCGCACACAATTAAACTACCCTAGTCAATTTATCTCCCGTTTGTGTAATATATATATATATATATATATATATATATATATATATATATATTTCAAGCTATTAAGCCTTAACCATCATTCATATGATTCCAGTTACTTTCTATTCGAATTAATGCAAACGGATCTGCATAAAATCATTGTCTCACCACAACCCTTATCATTGGATCATGTAAAGATATTTGTATATCAAATTCTACGAGGTAAGTGAAATCAGTTTTACATTTTTGCCATGAATTTATTTTTTAATAAAAGAAAAATATCAGAGTGTATAAAATGACACTAACAACAAAGAGTGGTTGGTGGCTTCATTTTATCACCTGATGGTGTCCTCAGTGGTATAATGAATGCTTCATGGATTAAAAAGGTGTTCACTAGCCGTGGAGATGTTTATTCATGCACCCCGCAAAATTTCATGCTTTACGTGAGGGTTGGGACATTGCTCGGACGCCTAGACGCCTAAATAGGTAGTAGTTGTCTTAAGCGGTCACCCCACCTTCGAGCCTTTAACCTAAAGTCTGATCCACAAGGCAGTGGTTCAAGTGTCAGCAGCTGAGTTTCTATGGTCCCCAGTGATCTAAATAGTTCCATATGACACTTGATCTGGAGCCCCATATGCATACCGTAGTTTTGACATTGGGTTTTCATGCTCTCCGAGGTAGATTAACTTGTCCACCAGTCCGGTTGTGAAGCATTAGAAGTTCACAGATGTGTGACTCGTTGGTTTGAAGACTTAACTTACAGTTAGTAAATCCGCGGCTCGAATACCTCTCCATCTACTTCAGCCTGGGCAATCGAGTAGCTGGCTGGATTCAACATAGAACTTGGAACCGAAGTGCAGCAGTTCCACTTACCACGTTCCAAAGAGCACACAAAGGTAGACAAGAAAATGAGTGAAGAGAATCAATAGAGTTTTGACAAGTACAGGAGTGAAACAGAATGAGTAATGGTAGAAAGGAATATGAGACTGAATATTACAGAGACTGAATACATCTGCGTAAGTCATTGACAACGATTTTGAGCCATGTCACCTATTGTCTCCAGCCACGATTGATTCTTAGAGTCCCGAGGGCCCCAACCCGAAAGTCTGCATCTCCCTATCCGACTCAGTTTAACTGTCAAGGATTTCATGGATTGACAAGGTCATGTTATTGTTTGGCCACCACTTACTCTTTTCCAACCTGCACCTATATCAGCTAGTAATGCCCGTTGGGTGGGGGGAGGCGATGGTTAGGCCTGTGCAGCACGTGACCTAGCCATCTCAATCTATGTAACTTTACAGTCTCGTTGACTGATTTTCCCTCTTTGCCCAACACTCTACGCCTAACGTCAACATTACTTACCTTATTATACTACCTAACGTGAGAAAGAGATCGTAAACATCTGTGGTCAAAAACAGTCAACCTTTTCATGTCTTCAACTAGTATTGGCCATGTTTCAGAGTCATAGAGAAGGACGGAGCGAACTGCTGAGCAGTACACACGTCCCTTGGTTGATAGCCGGATGTCACGCCTACGCCAGAGACGGTGTAAGTTAGCGAAAGCAGCCCGAGCTTTTTGGATCCGTGGTGAGATTTCGTCAGCAATCAACCCGTTGATACTGGCTGATACAACTTCCCAAATAGGTGAAGTGGTCAACATGTTCTATCACTTCACTCCCATCACCACTAAGCTAGGAGTTGACGTAGTCCAGTCAGTCCTGTGGCAGCATCTTACATTTTACAGGGGACGAATCGCATGCCAAACATACGAAGATTGCTGCTCAAGGTGTTCAGAGGACTCTGTATTTTGTCAGCATCCTTCCCTAACAATCGAGTAGTATCGTGAACCTCCCTGACCCCCCCACACACACAACAAGTGTGGTCCATAACTTGGTATGTGAGAAACTTTTCCTACCGAGTAGCTGAATACTAATAACACCTTTTGAAAATAAAATAAAAATAACTGGCCTCTAATCATTATACATTCAGAAAACCTTATCCGAGTATACTTCATATCAAGACATTGAAATGGAGTTCAATAAAATCGTGAGAGAGAGAGAGAGGAAAGTACAACTGGTCTCCAGAAGTTATCATGAAATGAAATAAAATAAAATAAAGTAGATCCGTATGCTATTATTGAACGGTTTTGTACCAGTGCAGTCGATATATATATATATATATATATATATATATATGCAATCGCATAACCTATTTTCCAGCCATTGCCTTTATAAAAACATAGTAGTTTTTGTAGTTAGTGTTCCTAATTGTTTGCTAAATGTATATATTAGTACATGAGAGAGGCCTTTTCAGAATATACATATATATATATATATATTCGTTTTGTTTGAGGCGAAGTTCAACAATAGAGTCCCAAGATTGTAAATGTTCCAATGACCTTGAACGCATGCTAGTTATTGGTTCAGGAAGTTACCGTCATTCTACCGCGAAAATGAACGCTGTTCACCTACTGAGATGCCAATTTCACCCAGATCACGTATTTCAGTACTGTCTGGATAATGGATTAATAGCACGTACACGGTTATGTACTTGTGGTGCTTCTATGAACCTGCAATCGTATTCACAGGTCATAGATGGATATGTCTTTAGGTGTACACATTGCAGAAAACGAATAAGCGTTCGTAATGGTAAGTGATAGTCTTAGTTAATTGTCTTCTAGGAATTTCCTTTGAAAAATCGAAACTCCCTTTGACGAAAATCCTGTTCTTGTGCAATTATTGGGTTTTTAAATCCGGAGTGAGGTCAACAGCCACTCAGACAGAAAATACTCTGACATCTACTGTTCAATGGTTTCAGTTTTGTAGAGATTTAGCGTCATGGAAGATGAATAATATTACTCAAGTTTTGGGAGAAGTGGGTGTTACTGTTCACGTCGACGAAACAGTGCTCATGAAGAAGAAATATAATCGTGGTCGTGCTAGAGCCAACAGCGTTTGGGTATTGGGAATTTATGATACCCAAATTCGCAAAGGATTCATCGAATTGATTCCAGACAGAAGTGCGGGCACTCTGGTGCCTATTATTCAGAGGCTTGTTTTGCCTGGCACTACCATACACACCGATGAATGGGCGGGATATAACCAGTTATCGCAACTCGGGTATATACATCATAGAGTTAACCATCCGCGTGATTTCGTCGACCCTGTCACCGGAACGTATACCAATTCCATCGAGGGTTTTTGGGGAAGACTGAAAAATCGAATCCGAGCCATCAATGGATCACAAAACGAAGTTATTTTCAGTCATTTGGATGAATATATGTATAGAAATTGGTTTAATTTCAAAACTGAAACTCCTATTAATAACTGGAACATTTTTTTAAAACTCATATTAGAGAAAAGTACCCTGTTTGATTGTTTTTCATGCTTATTTATGTAAAATTACGTAAAATTTTTTGCAAAAATCATCCTTTTTTCTGATTGGTCGGTTCAAGGTCACTTGTGCGTTCATTCCTTGGGACTCTGTTGTAGAACTTTGCCTTGTTTGAATGTAATTAATCCACTATTTGATTTTTGATTTATTTTCTTCATCCCTGAATTTAAGGTTTGAAATATCTTCATTCCGCTCGAATTATTCATCGTGATATTAAACCTGGAAATATGTTAGTAAATTCCAATTGTCTTCTTAAAGTAAGTAAGCCAGTTAGGTTATTGTTGAATACAATTTTAAATATTTTGTCACAATATATTTATGCTTCAGGTCTAGAATGCTCACCAGTCGCGCGTATGCGCACGCGCTTCGGCTTCATTGCCCGTCTGACTCACTCCTTAACCTCATTTAGTTCACACTGACCAACAGTTAGTCTAGGAAAGAGAGAGAGAGCGAAGATTGGGAGTGAAGAAAAACTCTAAAGATTAAGGCTTGAAGCCGTTTGTAGATTTATAAATATAGAGGAATGAAAACAAAGACCTTAGCAACGTCAAGGTTATTTATTCACTTTTGAATTAGCCAATCAGAGATGTAGACTGTTTATGTGCTAAATACATGATTGTCTATAAGTGATCCACAACGGAATACTCAGCGAGGCGTTTGGAGTAAACACAGGAGTCAGACAAGGGTGCTTATTATCACCAATGATATTCCTAATTGTGGTGGACTGGATTATGCGTCAGACAGTGGGACACGCGAAGACAGGGATATCCTGGACCGACATGAAGAACCTAGAAGACCTGGATTTCGCGCGTGGATGATTTATGCTTGATGTCACACAAAATCGAAGAGTTACAAGCAAAAAGCGACAAACTGGTCGAAGAAGCAGCCGGTGAAGACAGGACTCCAGGTGAACATAGACAAGACGGAGGTCATGAAAATAACCAACCAACAACAACAACAACATCCAGCGCCAATCACCATCAACGGGAGGGATTTGAAAGAGGTTACTTCATTCACTTTACTTATCTAGGGAGCATTGTCTCAACTACATGACGAACGGACGAGGATGTCAAATCGAGACTAGAATCGGGAAGGCGAGAAACACATTCATCAACCTGAAACCAATCTGGAAATCTTCGTCACTCAGCCTGCATCAACAACAAAATTCGGATTTTCAGTACAAACATCAAGTCAGTTTTGCTATACGGATGAGAAACTTAGCCAGTGTGTCACAAAGAACATTTCCAACAGCCTGTTGCAGACCCTTATCAACAACTGTCTTCGCTCTATACTACTGAAGATCAGATGGCCGCCGTAAAGAAGAAGAACCAACAAGAAACTATGGGAAGAAACAAAACAAGAACCAATCGCCCAACAAATATGCAGGAGAAAGTGAAGATGGATTGGACACTCGCTGAGGAGGCCGCTGAGTGACATCGCGCATCAGGCCATAGCTCGAGTGGAACCGGAAAGGGAAGCTGGGAGTTGGACGTCAGTGGAAGGGTGATATGGAGGAGATCGTGTTAAGAGGAGCTGAAACAGTATGGATTAACATGGATGCAGGTGTAAAGTACAGCATAAGAGAGAAGCAAGTGGAGACGTGTAGTTGAAGTGAATTGCAAGTAACAAATGGTAGAGTGAATAACTCCACACCCAACCTTCCCTTTTTCTCTGTGGTCTTAAGACCGACTAATAAAGTGATCCCGTAGCTCCATGATAAAAATAAAATGGCCGGTCAGTCAGTCAGAAAGGATAAACAGTAAAGAACTCTGGCAACGGATCAATCGACAACTTATTGCTCGACAAATATGTAGGGAGAAATGGAGATGGATTGGACATATACTCATAAGGAGACCGGTGAAAGACAACACATGCGCGAGGCAGGCCCTCAGGTGGAACCCGACGAATAGGAAACAGTGAGTTCAGTGTGGATCTGAGTGTAAAGAGGAAATGATAGGTTATGGACAATCGTGGAGCCCGCTAATGATGACCACCAAGAACAGGATGAAATGGCGATATCCTGCCAAAGCTCTGTGTTCCACTTGGAAGCCAGTGGAGTCATAATAGTTCCGAGATTGTAGTGTTCAATCTCTTATTCATTCTGTTATAAAAATCCACATCATTATTGATTGTTTCACAGTACATTTTTTCATGCCAAAATTGAAATGTTGTTGTTGTTTTGTTGTTTTCAATGTTTCAATAGAATAGAATTATGTGATTAGTGTATCATTAGAATGTATTACCGTGTTTATTGTTTTTATTTACTTTAACACGTCTATGTCTCAGTTTCAAACAAAATAAGAGCATAAATATTTTTTTTATCAAGTTGTGATTAATAGTCGGATAAATTTTGTTTACTAATTCCTTAATGCTTATTGTTTCTGTTAGTTAGTTAGTTTGTTTGTTTGTTTTTCGCATAACTTTTCTCTGCACGTTACCATGACTACAAAATGTAACCATTGTGCCTAGTGAAATTGTAATGCTTACTTATTAATATGTCGTACGCTTTAAATACTTTAAGCGTTTTCTTGATAGATGTAATAAAGAAGCAGTGATACGGACAAAATTTTCAGCCTAATCTATTTCTCATAATCTTATCCAAGTCCACTCACCTAAATACTTGAAAATTTTTGTTTATCTAGTTCATTTCAATATGGATTCCGTCAATAAGAGACTATATGGCGCAGTGGACGAAATCTACATTGAAATTAATCGAAATCCTGACCAAAAAATTCTCAAAATCTAAATCTAAGTCTTCAACTCATTGATAGCTAGTAGTTGGATGTTGGATGGATACTGAAAAGCCCTGGCCAGTGGGTAACGATGTATCACTGTCTGTCTGTCTGTTTTCGACATAGAACTTTGCACATATGTGCGGCAGTTCAAGTCGCCACACTCCTCTCCTTGTAGCACACAAAGCAAGAGAAGAAAGTAGAAGAAATGCATTATAGAGACAGTAAACAGAGGTGTGAGACAAAGAAATAGTAATGAGGAAGAACAATATAGTTTCATTGGGTATTATAAATCACAAGGAGTGGATGCATCTGCACCAGCCATCAATGAGAACGATTTTGAGCCATGTCACCAATTGTCTCCAACCATTGGTGTTTACCGTCCTGAGGACCTCAACCAGGAAGTCTACACCTTCCTACGTGACTGGCTAGCTGGCTGACTTAAACTAACTGTTGTAGATTTCATTGACTGGTGAAGCCATGTTTTGGTTTGACCGCCGCCAGCTCTTTTCCAGCCTGACCCTATATCAGCTAACATTGCCCGTCGAGGAAGGCGATGTATCACGAAATGACAAAAGTTAGAGCTGACGAGTCATTAAATTCTGGTGCAAGTTGATCTCATATTCTGAAGGTCTCTGGGTTCAATCTTTGGCGGCAGAGTCGCGGGTGTGTTCACCTAACTACTATGTGACACTTTTTAAAAGTGTAACACTATCCAACGCTATTTGCAATTATGTTAAGTTTTTCTCTAAGTAGTTAGTCATCCTTCATTTCATTTTTTCAAATTCCGCCGCCATTTTTAAACAATACGTAACTTTTTCTTCATAATTAAAAAAAATCTTTTCTTTTTTTCCTTTCCAATAGATATGTGATTTTGGTTTGGCACGTATTGATGATCCATTTGGAGAGGCACATTTAACTCAAGAAGTTGTTACACAATATTATCGATCACCTGAATTACTGATGGAAGCAACACGTTATTCATATGCTGTAGATATTTGGAGTGTTGGATGTACATTTGCTGAGCTGTTAGGTCGTCGGATCCTATTTCCTGTAAGTCCTTTAAACTATTGAATATTTTTAAAAACATTTTTTGTTTCAATTTATTTCATATAATTAATTATAGTTGTAATTATTATTCAGAATAAAAACAGTTAAAGCGAACAATTCACGTGCGATGAGGGATCCCCAAAAAACAGAATTGCCTTCCTGGATGTCCTCCTTACAAGAAAATCAGATGGTAGTATAAAGAGTAATTTGCATAGGAAAAAGTACATGGACAGGACAATATACACATTTTCACAGCTTCCTTCCTATCAATTACAAAGGAAATTTAGTGAAGACCCTCAGCCACAGAGTTAGAGCTATAGGCTCAGAAGAAGTAATTGAAGATGAATTAAGCATTGTATATGATACTTTGGTTGAAAATAGCTATCCTGACAAATTGATCAAGAAACATATGACAAAGGACTACTCACTATCCGTAAACAAGAAGCCTTTATGTACAGGACTGCAATTCAAGGGCGATATACCAAGTGAGATAATTTCGAAGAAATTAAGAAAATCAGTTCAAAGAACTTTTAATGCTGGCGAACTTCACGTCTTATTCTCTACATGAACAGTGGTGATTCCTCGACTGAAAGATGAAGTACCTAGACTAACCCCCTTTAACTGTTTCTACCAATTCAACTGCGCTTGTGGGGCGAGTTATATCAACTCTTGCTCTAGGAACTTGAATTTTCGTGCTCACTCGAGATTATCTCCCACTATGGCTAAGTAAAGGTGTAGTGAAAACCATCAACAGTTCGATATTGGACCGTCTCGTCCAATACCTAGAGATACAGTAAAGGTGAATACCGTAGAAAAGAAACCTTTGTATCTTAAGTTAAGTTACAAAGGGGAAATTGCAGCTGATATTCTAAAATGTCGACTTAATAGAGCAGTAGATAGAACATTTCCTGCAGCTAAACTGATACTCAACTTCTCAACTAAACCAGTACTCACACAGCAAGTAAAGGATAAATTTCCAAAGATGGCCTCATCAATTTGTATCTATAAATTCAACTACTCCTGTGGAGCTAGTTACATTGACCGTACTCAGAGGGCTTTGTCCGTACGAGCGCGTGAACATGTACCTGTATAGTTAAGTAAGGAGGCAATCAAATGCTGTCAAAGCTCACTCGGTAGATATTGGACACTCGATAAAGCCTGACCAGGTGTTCTCAGTTATTTACTGCGTTCCTGGTAATCTAACTAGAGGAGATGGACTACGTCTTCTATCAGTAGCTGAAGCGGTTGCAATCAATACCAGAAGACGGGTTCTTTTTTTACAGAAAAAGTATGTTCAACCGCTATGTTTATCTTGGTTTGCAAATAAGGCCAACAAATCCTCCATAAACATTATTATTTTTTAAAATATTTTATTCCTTTACGTTCCTAGTGGAACATAGGGCTTCAAGCTCGACCTCTGAAGCTTCGGTGGCAGTGGGTTTTATTTTTACGGGATGGAGCTGCTAGCCTCATGCCCAGCCTCCCCTCTTTACCAGTCTTATTACTCGCTTAGCTAGGTAAAGGAGCGCGTCGGTGGCCGGGGATCGAACCCTGAACCACTTGCGAGGTTGGCGAGCATCCTACCGCTGTGCCACCGACTCCACAAACATTAGCACTTGAAATTCCTATCGCAATCTCCTTTCGTTTTCTTCTTCTTTTCTTTTTTTCATTGACAAACGTTCATCTCTGATCTTATACGATTTCATGACCTTTCTTATGATTTCTATTACCGCTGGTTTGAGTAATGCTTTTCTAACTTGTTATCATATTTACAAAATCCCGTTCATTTCACTACACTAAATTCGTTGTTATTAGATAATCATGCACCAATAGTACTTTTAAGTTTACACCACATCAACATTATTATTTCGCAATCATTATTACTGTTGTTATTTTCACCCTTGAACTTACGTCTAGTCCTCCCCGTTTGCTGGGTTTTTCTTTAGTATTCATATAGCCACTGGTTACACTCACCCTCGAAACCTGTACTTTTGTTGACTATATATATGTATATGTATATATATATATATATATATATATATATATATATATATACATCATTAAGTTATTTCATCTCATTTAATCTCATGCTCTCCTTGACCATGCATATTAAAAAACTAACTGATTATTGTTCCATCCCATCTTACTTATACTTGTTCCACAATACACATTTCTGATATGATTCTAATTTGCCTTAACTGGCTGGCTGACTGGCTGTTGTATGCTTAAATTAATGGATTTATAATTGTAGAGTCTGACGTAGAAGAATTTATTGAAACCTCAATTGTTCTCTCTAGCTATTATTATTATTATTATTAAAATGAGTTAAGATAATGATAATGATAAAAGATAGTTTTGAATGAATCAGGAATAATAATAATAAAAGGTAGAATTAAGTGTTAATAATAATGGTAATAGTTAAGAAGTAAAACTTATTACCATGTTAGATTTAGAGTGACCAACATTTCATTCTATACACAGAGACCTCCTGGTTTATAAACTCTAACTGCACAAGCCTCCACAACTCCAAGTATCTTCCTGTTTGTTTGTCTGCTGACAATAACAGTGAATAACTTGACAGTGAGTCAATATCATGTCCATGGTTTACAAGATGCTTCGTTATTGAACTTGTTGTCATTTTGACGTCAGCTGTTTTCAATCACTTTGGCAGATGATGCTCCATCATGCGAGTAGACAATCGCCTTTCTGTACGACCTATGTATTTGCTTTCTTCAACAAACACACTCAAATCGATTTACTCAGTTTGAAGTGTCTAAGTTCGGCGACTGGTCTTTTCGAAATTCGTGGTCACTAACACCACCAAACAGGTGTTTCAACGATTTGGGAAAAACGGCCAGTTGCCACTCCTAGACACTTCGATCTGAGTATATCCATCTGAGTGTGTTTGTGGGAGGAACCAAATACACATAGGTCGTACAGAAAGGCGATTGATTGTCTACTCGCATGATGTGGAGCATCATCTGCCAGAGTCTCTCTGTCTGTCTGTCTGGATTCAACATAGAACTTGGCACCGAACTGCAGCAGTTCGAGTTACCACGTTCCAAATACCACACAAAGGTAGACAAGAAGAGGAGTGAAGAGAATCAATAAAGTTTTGACAAGTATAAGAGTGAAACAGAATGAGTAATGGTAGAAAGGAATATGAAAGATTACAGAGACTGAATACATCTGCGTAGGCCATTGACAATGATGATTTTGAGCCATGTCACCTATTGTCTGTCTCCAGCCATTGATTGATTCTTAGAGTCCCGAGGGCGGGCTCCAACCCGGAAGTCTGCATCTCCCTCCCTACCTGACTCAGTTTAACTGTCAAGGATTTCATGGATTGATGAGGCCATGTTTTTGTTTGGCCACCACTTACTCTTTTCCAACCTGCACCTATATCAGCTAGTAATGCCCGTCGGCTGGGGGAGGCGATGGTTAGGCATGCGCAGCACGTGACCTAGCCATCTCAATCTATGTAACTTTATAGCCTCGTCGATCGATTTTCCCTCTTTGCCCAACACTCTACGCCTAACGTTAACATTACTTACCTTATTATACTACCTAACGTGAGAAAGAGATCGTAGACATCTATGATCTGCCAGAGTGATTGAAAAAGCTGAAGTGAGTGTGACAAAAAGTTCAATAAAAAAGGATCTTGTCGACCGACCTACGGATATGATACGAACGCTTTGAAGTCACTCACTGTGCAATTAGAGTTTATAAACCAAACTGTATCATCTTCCACTGAAAAGTCACTTACAGTTAAACAGTATTACTTACTTGATAATCAGTGCTTAATGTGTGTTGACAAGCATGTTGACTATTTGATGTGTGGTTCAAAATCGTTATCAATGGGTAAGACGGATTCATTCTCCGTAATTTCCCCTAAGCCACTACACTCTCATGTTCTTCCAAGTGCCTGTTTATCCTTCCTCATATATCAACTTATTGCAGTTCCTTACGAGTTGATCACGGATTGATATCAGTTAGAGAACTATTGAAAACCAGCTGGGAGTACTGGACAACTGTCTCCTCTGTTCTAGTTTGAGAATCACTGGCAGTACGCACCCACCACCAGGATTCGAACCCACGACCTTCGGGTTACAAGGCAAGCTGACTCGTATACCATTCAGACACTGGGACACGATTCAATGGCCAGCCCATGAATTCTAACTTCTACCAATTCGTGATTTAGCGTGACCACCAACCTATGTCATCGGTGGGACATCCATTCTCACACTTAACTGGATAAACCCTGGTGGTGGGTGCGTACTGCCGATGATTCCCAAACTAGGGTGAAACAGCTGTCTAGCAGTACTCTCTGGTTTTCAATGGTTCTCTAACTGATATCAATCATTCCGTCATCAACTCGTAAAAACAAATCTAATCCTTACAAGCCAATTATAGAAAATCTCCATTTTTCCTCTGTTGTCTGCCTTTATGTGATACATGGAGTGTGGCAACCCGAACTGGTACACACTTCTGTGCAAAGTTCTTTTGAGAAGCTTAATCCGTTAGCTGAATCGGTCAGACTTTGTCACTTACCATCGTCGTAAGACACTTCTCAAAAAAACTATGGAATCAAATTGCCAATCAATGTAGATGACTTATCTTCCGATATAACTTTTTAGGGAAAGAATGACACTAGTTTCAAAATAAAACTCTTCAACATCTCTTTAGATAGATATGTACTCAAGCATTATGGCTGTTCTCAGTCTAGATTTGTCTCACGTAGGAACATCTCTTTGAGAGAGAGGGAATAAATGAAACAATGATCAACGATTTCGTCCTATTTTGGGGCACTTCAATAGTCCCCATCTTCATTTTTTTTAGATTACTTTGAAAGATGAGATTTTAAAATAATAATTACTGCCCTTTACGAATCTTAACAAAACAATAAGATGGCGTTATTTATCTGAATTGTGTACATTTCTAACCTTAAGGGGTAAGAGAGTAGACATAGGTCAAGTTAAAAGGACATGCTAAAGGTCAAAATA